ATGGTGCCCAAAGGGTAATATATGCTAATACTGGCGGTAATTGAATAAAATGCATAGATAAAATTGATGCGTTGTATTTCTTCGAAAAAAAATCGTACAACGCTTAATTTTTTTTTTATTTTTAAAAGAAAAGTCCATACTTTACCATGGTCATCATGACATTTACGAAAATAATGTGCACCCCGTAGCGTAGAGTACGAAAAGATACGTAAATTAAAAAAAAAACACATCATTATTTTTAAGTGATGCCAGGGGGATGAGGATATATCCAAAATTTATTGAAAACTTCGTAAAATACAGACTTTACCTTTCAAAATGGAAATGGAATCTTTTAAATGAGACTATATTTTTGGCGGAGTTACGCTTATTTGAATTTATGCAAAATTTTAATATAAATTTACCTATGCGATAATTTTGTTGACGAGTGTATGTATGGGTATATGTATATAGTATATTTTTTACGGATTGCTCGAATACTTAATGTGGTTCTTCGATGAAAATTTTCGTAAGAATTTACGTGAAGGAATACTTAACTGATCCTTAAAATCCATACAACAATTGTATACTTTGCCATTTTCAGTATAATATTTATTATTTATTATTTATTTATTTTTCATTTACATCAACATTCAACAATATTTAAACCTAATTTATTTAAAATAATTTAATCACTATCCTAAATTAATTATTTTTTTATATTTGTTATCTATTTACAATTATTTAATATTTTATAAATCGAATATTACATGCAATAATTGTTTCGACTAAAAGAATAAATCGTTTTCACAGAACAATGTCCATTATATGATTCTCCTCTCTAAAGCAAGGAACATGTTATTCTCAATAAACAGATCTATTAATTTCTGATGAAAAAAAATCTTCCCCTTTCTTTATAAACATAGCCTTTGTTTCGGCATCCAATTGTTGAAAACTTTCTGTCCGTATTACATTCGTCATGTTTTTAAAATAGAAGTTGAAACAATATTTCATTAATTCCTAAAGAATAGATACTACACATATAAGTGAATTACAAAACACTTAATAGATAGATTTTCAGAGCTAATGTATTATGCGTTAAACAGTGATATTCGTGTGAAGTAAAAAATTCGCGTATAGAAATTTTAAAGAAAAGAATATTTTGCTGGGATAGAAATAAGAATGGAAAACAAATCCCAATTGGATTAATACATAAATCCCATTATAAACTCTATAATTTTTTCTTTTGTCTCAGATAAGAAAGAAATCCTCAATAAAAAACAAAAAAAAATACCTATTATCTATCAAATACCTTTTTGTAATATTCCGCCATTTTGTTGATAAGGTTAAAGAGTTGTATGACGTTTGATATAGTAATTGTTTTTTTTATTGTTTCTATACAATCTATCTGGAGTTTTTTGAGGCAGACTTCATCTGCCAGTTCGAAAAGATCTGCAACGAGATATTTAATCGCAAATTATAGATGTAATATGCGGCACGTTTAACTCAAACTCACCTAACAGGTCCTCAAAAGGTGATAGATTGATCCCACCGGTATATAAATATTCTAAAAATTTTTTATAAACGACATACCTATAATAATGGGTTTCGATGATGCTGTCAAGAGGAATATGTTAAAATATTACAAAGAAATAAAAAAAAAGTTTTTTTTAAATATAATTTTCTATGTAAAAATATACCTTTGACTATTTTCAACAAAATTAGTTTGGAGCATACTTCTAAAATATACAGAACGAATCTTCAAGATAGCTTTGTGAACATAAATTGATTGTTTCTCGACTATTATCGTGAGATCACTCGTTGACTTTAGAGACGGGAAACAAGAATTAATTATTAAAGTTGAACATGTGTATTATGTAATCATCAAATTTTTCCTTTTATTACACAATGAAAAAATGTATGGTGCAATAAAAAGAAAAACATTTAATCCTCAGTACCCACAACGAGTTAGCGTAACTCTATCGATTTTCATAGTTCAAACGTTCTTTTCCGATCTCTTTTTCACTTATTGCAAAATATTTTTCGTGATATGACATTTTAGACTTTCGAACTGAAAAATTCTTTTTTTTTTAAGGATGGTAGATAGATATTTTTGAGATGTAGGTATACTGAGGGGTAAGATGCCAAATCACGAAACAAGAGATATTATTGAAAAATTCGCTAAGACTTTATCAAGGAGACAAAATAGGACTATGACAATCAATATAATCAAATTCGGCTAGTAAGACTTTCAATTAATGGCTTTTTTGCGGGTTTTAACATGCCATTAGTTACAAGACTTTGAAATTTTTTGATATCTTTTAAGGATTCAAAACTAAATTGTAAAAATAAATCGTACTGTTATCCTTATGGTACGTCATCGAAAATACTGAATTTGATAACAAATAAATACATATAATAAAGACTAACTGGATCGTTGAATGCAGTTTCCAAATCGTTTAGGATGTCAAATTCTTCATTTATGAATTCACGAGTCACGGATATTGGCGATTGACCTATCACCGAGTTGGATATGTCAAACACGTTCGTATATTCAAATATGGCAGGTTTTTTAAATGTTATTTCAAAAATACAACCCCATGTATACACAAGTCCATCCTCGTTAGACTTGACAAAATTTTGGGAACCAATGACGGCGATGTCCGATACTTTTTTTACATTAGCTACATTTATCTGCCAATCGAAAAATTCTCTAGATTAGTTTATGCTTTCCTATTTTTGTTCGGTTCGTCATAATACAATTACAGAAACAGATCATTTACCATGATAGGAGACAAAATGTCATCACCGTTATTCAGATCCAATTGTTTATAACTGTTCAAACCCCAGCCATAGACTTTTCCTTCATCGGTTAGAGCGAGTGTGTGATTAATTCCACAGACTACCTTGACTAAACATTAAGATTAAATAGATTAGGTTATTCTACAATACTAGCAGCCATAAATTCTTCATGTATACATCTTTTCATTTTCAGGAATATGTTTTAAAGAAAATTACCAATTGTTTTGCCTGCAAATTCCGCCATTTCACGTGGCTCTTCGACTATGAAAGGAAATTCGTCTAAAATTTGAGAAGAAGTACTCAAACTCAATTCCCCGCACAAAATTGTGTATATCCCCCAACTGAACGTTCTGCAGTTATCCGTAACTACCACATAAAAATTAGTTCCGCAACTCATGCACGTAATCTTCTCATTGATATCGACTTGATGCATATTGTAATATTTTCCCTGTTTCGAAACGTTTGTGTAACATACCTAAATTAAATAAGCGTAATATATCTAAGTGAAGATCGTAAAGTTAATAATTATTATTACTAATGTATTCATTATGATATTGTCGTAACAGTTTACTTTGCCATCATCAGTCAAAGCGAGAAAATTATTCATGCTAGTTGCAGCTTTTACAATTCTTGTGTTACTCCAATCAATCTTATGGGAAATATAACATATACGTGAGGGCTTTTCAAAATTTGCCATAATCTCATTTTCAATCTCATCGTCTGTAGATTCATCATCAAGATAGAATGCAGTTTTTACAATCGCATCGTTCCATACATATATCTTTTAAAAAAATTAAGTGATTACCGATTTATTCAGTTAAATTTATTATTAAAGACTATATTTTTAAATTAAAATCGTCAAATATTTCACTTTTCCTTAATAATACGAAAAAATATTTCGGGTGAAATTGGAACTGTTTCGAGAGACATATATTTTGATTATATATTTTTCTAGGTGGCAGCGCTAAAAAAACGCGGTCACCTCTACTATTGTAAATGTAATAACATGATTCTTTTACATAATATGATCCTTCTAATTATTCTACGTATAAAAATTATATGAACAGAATATATTGGGTATGGGAATAAGTTTCCGCCCATTGTAGAAAGATGTCGTTAGTAGCATTGCTTGTTTGTTTGATAGAACGGCAACACGTGTGTTTTTGAAAGGTTTGTGTTCAAACTTTTGAGCCCAATAGTTGGCAATGTTGGCAAAAGTCTTGTGAGATTGCTCGAGCGGGACGGACGTGTGCCGCGCCCGCTTCGGGTATTGCATCATCTCATTTATTTTTTGAAAAGCGATTCCGGTTTCGACCGTGCATTGTGTTATACTATTTGTCTTGACTACATTATTATTTCGATTAATCTATTTACGCATTATATTATTTGTCTTGATTACATCATTATCTCGATTAAACTATTTATTTACGACTTTGGCCGGAATCGTCGCCATTTCTGCGGCGCGTGCCATTAATTTCGAAGAAGAAGAAGAAAGACAATGTTGGCATTCGTTCGAAGCGTATAAAAGAGTAACTTTTTTTGCGTTGAAGATGTCGGAATTTATTCCAAAAAAGTAATATTTGCGGGAAGTTTTACTCCATTATTTTATTTTAAAGAAAAGTGCTGCAGAATCGCATGTTTGCTCGTAGATGTTTACGGTGAGCATGCTCCATCGAAAACCAGTTGTAAAGAATGGTTTCGGCGATTCAACAGTGGCGATTTTGACGTGCGTGACAAAGAACGCGAAGGTGCACCGAAAAAATTTGAAGATGCAGAATTGCAAGCATTACTGGAAGAAGATTCATGTTTATCGCTCGATAGGTTGTCAAAAGAGTTAAATGTTGATAGATCCACTGTTAGAAAACGTCTACACGCAATGAGAATGGTGCAAAAACAAGGAAATTTGGTGCCATACAAATTGAAAGAGAAACATGGAAAGACGTTTGGTCATCTGCGAGATGCTTCATCAACGACAACAAAGGAAGGGTTTTCTACATCGTATCGTAACTGGCGATGAAAAATGGATCTACTACGATAACCCTAAACGCTTGAAAGCATGGTTGATGCCAGATGAACCAGGTCCATCAACGCCAAAACGAAATATCCATGCTTCGAAGATTATGTTATGCATCTGGTGGGATCAGAGAGATGTTATATATATATTATGAGCTGCTCAAACCGTCCGAAACCATCACTGGCGATCGTTATCGACTACAACTGATACGTTTAAACCAAGCTTTGAAAGAAATACGACCGAAATGGGACAATAGGCATAACAAGTTGATTCTGTTACATGACAACGCTAGGCCACACGTTGCAAAACCGATCAAGAAATACTTGGAAGGAGTAAAATGGGAAATTCTGCCCCACCCGCCGTATTCACCGGACATTGCTCCTTCAGCTTTCCATTTGTTCCGATCCATGCAGAAGGCCCTTTCTGGAGAACGATTCAATTCTTAAGAAGATATCAAAAAATGGCTTGATGAATGGATCGCTTCAAAAGAACCAGATTTTTTTCATTCGAGGAATCCGTTTATTACCGGAAAAGTGGGAGAAAGTTGTCGTTTCCAAAGGAGCATACTTTGAATAAACTCACTTATATAGATTTGTTTAAATAAACACATCTTTTTCTTTCAAAAACGGCGGAAACTTATTCCCATACCCAATAATACGTGGGATCATTTAGTGTAATGCAAACAGAATTTCTTATTTCTAAAATTAACCATTTAACTTCATATTTTTTTAACCAATTATGTGTTTTTTTTGTACAAATTGATTCTCTTTATTATTCATTTGTAAAAATATTCAGGTGTGAGTTAGAGTAAAAAGTATTCGTACAAGAAAATTTGTTTCTTTATTTAAAAAAGTCTTTGTAGAAAATAAACATTAATTAGCTCAATTTTATATAATGAATTCATTCTATTGTAACATGAACAAACGAGCTTCGCATGTATTCCTGATTTTAGAAGGTAAATTTCTCGTCGGTACGAATACTTTTTGAGTATTCAGACAATATAATTTTTAATTTTCGCTTATTTTTCGGATGATATATATTGTATAATTAATATATTGTATAACACATCCTTTTGGTATATATAATTTTAAGAAACATACAGTCCATTTTATTCTTTATGAATAAATGATTAATTATCCAACAAGAAATGATCGTTAATTAAACGTTGAATTGACGTCAAATTAATGTTGAAATCATCGTATTTATATCAATTCGACATCGATTCGATGAGACATTTCTCGTTGGATAATATTTACTTCTTACAAATAAATTTTTTTTTTTATATTTTCTCAGTCCGAATGCTTTTTTACTCACTGTATGAATGCTTAATATGGCGACAAAATGTTGCAAGTTGTTCCGTTCAGGGAACCTCACAGTATAGAGGACATTTTCTGTGACTAACTTTTTTTGTCCTTACCCTTTCTAAATGTCTCAATTACTAGCACAGTAACTTGTGGCGAAAGAGAATTAATAAATTATCGACACGTATGTCACAATAAATACATGAAATTAATTTTTTTTTTAATGTATGGACATTTAAGATTATGATAATATAATTTCTTTTTTTCTTAGGAATTCTTAATTTATTTATTACATTTTATAAACGTTGATTTGTATCATTTAATGACATATGTATTCAAAATTGTCCCAGTTTGTGACGTATATTGGTCCATATCATTGATAGGTGATATAAACATACAACATCCCTAATATTGACACGTCGTATAGACACAGAAACGTTCTTATTACACACCCAGTTAAATAATCTTATATTTAATTTGAATTATTTTTAATCGTATCTATAGATCGCCACTATTTACGATAACAACATATTGTACTCAATATGTTGTTAATTTGATTAAAACATGGGATTTAAACAATTTAACTAAGGAAAATATACTGCCGTCTTAGGTTAGGAACTGTACCGGCTATCACAAATTGGTACAAAATCATGAGTCTCCCTATTACTAATTTAAGCAAGACAATTCATAGAGTAGGAACTCATATTTGTATGTATATTCTTTAAATTCTGAAAGAATATAAGTTACGATATTGATATCGTTCCTTGATTTAATAATAATTGATATTTATACATTACGTATTTCATTTAAAAAAAAAATAGGAACGTTTTTATTGTTTTATATCATATATTTGTTTGAAATGTCAGTAATAAAAACAAACAAAATTTCAGTACCGATTAATGAGACGTGCATTAATTATCAAAATATGAACTTTTGTGATGTTATCAGTTATTATTCACAATGTTTTTAATATCTATTTAACTTTGGGTGCTTACTTTCATTTACTTTTAATTTAATAATAGTTAGAATAATTCGACGAAAGGACCATCGATATAGTCGTTGCCTTACAAGATGTTAGTGAGCATCTGTTAGATTTGTCATCGTTGATAACATGCTTACAATTATAATACTTTAGCGTTTACAAAAGCGCTTAATTTTATTCAAAATTCGTTGTAATAGATAACATATACAATTTAGAAAACTAAAACATTTTTTGAAATTAACATTGGTCTATATTAACTGATTTATTGAGAAAAACGATCACTATTGTCACTAATTGGGACATTTACCTTAATTAGGTCTCCTTATTCTTACTTCATGAGACTAAGCCTTAGGATTCCCTTAACATGTGGAATAAATTATAAAATGTCTGGCTTTGATGTATCTGCTTAATATTCATATTTGTAGAACAATTATGAAATCATATCATATAAAAAAAATCATAATTTTATTTAAAAATGTAAAGTTCTTTATATCTTTATGGTGTTTTCATCTAAAAAAAATTAATGTAACCAAACTATACGTTCTTTTGGAATCTGCTGTATTACTTTCATACGAAACGTTTTTTGTTTAAAAAAAACAATTGAAATATTTAAAATTTTCAATTTCAGTACCCTTTGTATGCGTTAGAATCAATGAATTTAGTTACAATATACTTATGTGTTAAAGTAAAATAATGTACTATAAACCCTTATATAAAAATCTAATACCAAAACTAGCCAATTGATCACATATTTTCAATATTAAAAGTGCTGCTAACAATACTTTTAACACTCAACATAAATGATTAATTGCGACCAGTGTATTACTATTAAATGTCTATAAGGGAAAGTAACCCAAAAATTAATAGAGAGTGTCGATCATACATTTAGTAAACTTACAAAATTGTTGTCAATTCTATGAGCTTGTTCAATACGGTAAATGAAAAAAATTAATTTTTACTTCTTATAATTAACTTTATATTGAAAAACATTATGCACTTATTGCATGAACATGATGATAAAGAAGAATGGTATAACATACATATAAAGAATTAACGCTTTAAACGTATTTGGCACATCAACGTATTATATAAGGCGTCGTCTACAATACACGGAGTAAGAAGTAAGAGTAAGAAATTGACCAATCACAGTCGAATGTGAGAAGAATAATCGACTGTCGTTGGTCAATTTCTTACTCTTACTTCTTACTCCGTGTATTGTAGACGACGCCTAACATTGTAAAAATATTAAATATATTCATTTTTCCTTTATAGGATTATTGCTTCTATAAAGGATTTATACATAGTTAGTGATACATGTCATAAGTTTTACTATTTTTTTCTAATGAGACACTTTTATAAAGGCAAAATTTAACTTATAAAATAAATTTGTTTCTTTTTTATTTCCATATATTTTATTTATTAAGAAATAAATATTGTAATATTCTTTTACACTCTGTGTGTACTTTATACTCTGCTCTATAATGTAATTTCTAAATGTCAAAAAAATTCAACAAAGATTCATTCTAGTAAAATATGAAATGTCAATTTTTATTACGATATATAAATTGTTCATGTACCTCAACGTCTTCAGTAACCAAAAAAGTATTGCCCCGTTCTGTAATATTGGCAACCAACAACCTTATTGTTTTATTGAACATAATATCCACTTTAGTAGGATGGTGTTCTGCATCTATATAGCCAATACCATTCTTAAAGCCGATGCACGATTGCATTGCAAGCCTTGTATAAAAATAATTACAATTGTTATTAAATACATTTTGCCGTAAAATAAATGATTAATTAGGAAAGTAATTAGTTTATCTCGTTTTGTGTGAAGAACAAAAAGTGATAGTAATCGGAATTTTGGTTCATTTGTAAAGTTGCAGATTGAGCTAAAATAAATGTTAAAAGAACAATAGCTATTACGTACGGAAGGACGTAAGAACTGTAGGAAATTAGTGAAAAAGTATTTAAAATTTTTTACTCTTTTAAAATTTTTCTGTGATTCGGTGTTTGCTCAAGCTTTGTTGTTCATGTTTTCTTGCATGCCATAAGATCTGATCGTATAATGATACACTTTTCGTCATTAATATTGACGATCGCGATCCCGTGTGCTGTTTTACAAAGACAAAAAGCTGCTATCTCTTCTTGATCTTATAAAATTTAAAAGCAGAAGAAAGAAAGATTTCGTAGGAAATCTTATACGCTTTACCTTTGCCAATACAGACGTAAAAAGGATAATAAATTCAAATTCAGACGTGATAATTATCACATTAATTTTTACTTCGCGAGAAACGTTAATTGTCTATTACGTTGCTTTTATCGTCTACGAGTTATCCAGTTCTCGATGTCTACGTGGACAATTGAACCAATCAACGTAAAATCTTGGATCTTTTCGTAATGCTTGTACGTCTTACTCTCAATCTTCGCGTTCTATCTTTTCAACGTCCAAATGTGCGTATGTTTAAGTATTAGGTGTTAAACTTAATTCCTGCCGTTTTTCGTCTACAAAATTGATTTGTTTCGAAGGGACGATGAATAAATACCTTAATCAAAGTAATTTCCTTCGTTTTCTACTTTATTACTAATTAATAATATTTTATTAATAATACTTTGATTAAGGTATTTCCCTTCGAAACAAATCAATTTTGGAGACGAAAAACAGGAATTAAGTTTGACACCTAATACAAAAATTTCTGGGAATTTTAATCAACACACAAACGAATGTCTTCATGTACTTTTTTTTAGTTTTCTGACTGTCGCAATCGTAGAATAAGCCCGAATCTACAATAGATTTGTAAGCCTTAAGCCATAGGAAATGGACGAATCACAGTCAATTATTCCCCTTACATTCGATTGTAATAGGTAAATTTCTTACTGGTTAAGTCTTAAAACATCTATTGTAGATCCGGACTAAGAGTCTCTACACATAAATTTTCATTGTCGCATAAAAATATGCACAAAGAAGAATCTAATCGCGTTTATCTTATAAAGATTCGTGTAATATGCCATTGGATAATCTTCTCGCTAAATCATACTAAAAGTACGAGTCTAATTCTGGATCATTAATATTGGTCCATTATTATTTCAAAATTATTCGTCGATGTATATTTAAAAAAACAGGAAAAGAGAAACTTTAAACTTACCAACGTTTGAAAGCGATTAAGTCTATATTTTGCTGTTCCTCATTATTCTCTCTCATATCGTTTTCGTTAAATTTGAGCGAAATAGACATGATAAAGATCGATACGTTATCGTTAGTAACGCTAAATACAATTTGTAGAAATATTTGTTAAATAAGATCTTATTTCACAAGTGATGCGTACTGACGATTGAAATTGGAAAGAAACGAACTCTTTCCTTGAAAATCAATATACTTTCGTGTTATTGAGAACAGTATAAATGTTATCTAGTTAGGGTTTGTGTTCATGATGCTAAAACATGATTCGAGTTATTTATCTATATTAGAAATCAGCTTTTATGACCTATACCAACTTTAAAATATTAAACCAGTGCTATAAGTTGTGAATGGTTGTAATTAGTGTTGCGACGTGGTCAAATGGGACATCCCTGTTGTCACCGATTAAGATTAATAAGTATTCCACACAGTATGCGCCCGTGTGTTAAATTCTTCAACACGTTGCTATACATTTATATACAGAGTGATTCACTTAAATCGACCATCTGAAATATCTCACGTATTTTTGATGATATAAAAAAATATTTCGAATGGAAATGGAACTGTTTCGAGGAGGACGTATTTTTATCATGTTGTCTTTTTTTTAGGTGGAGGTGCCAAAAAGATATAATATTAACCTCCACTTTTTTAAATGGAATTGTATGATTTTTAATTTTCAAGCTTTTTTCTTACTGTAACCTCATTACGTGTCTCATTAATCAGTTGCACTAAATACAGTGCTTGTAAACCTTCATCTTCGCTATCTGATGACGAAGATGATGATAAGGATGATGATGAAGATGAATCACATTCATTAATAACATTACTAATGAATAAAGGCAATAAATTTTCTGGTCGCTATTTTGTACATAGAACGAAACGATGTTTAAGCATTAATGCGATTCATGAGCATCATGCATGAATCGGAAAGCACCCTTAGTCCGCTCTAGCTACAGAAAAGTGATTGGCAAAAAAAGTCGGGACACCCTGTATATTGATATAATAATTAAACAACCGACAACGTTTAGGGCAGGGCTGCCGAATCAGGGACGATTTACGAGGGGGTGGCGCACTTGCACACACCACTCACATCGGCCTGTTCCTAGTAATTTTTCATTGCTTCACCAATGAAATTATATTATTTTTAATTAGCCAATTAGCGATGTGGACGTTTGATGTACACGCCTGTTTACGACATCGCCATCAACACCATCAGTCGGCGACCTAGCGCGACAATAACACCGACGAGATATTATTAAAGACTGTCAACCCTGGGCAAATTTTAGGCGGTATAAAAAGGGCCCGGAGGTAATTCAAGAACTGTGACATTACCGACAATTGATATAAATTTGCTATTATTAACATAAATATTTGGCTCATGCATTATTAAATTCATGATTTTTTATTACATAAATGTCTCATAAGTAAATATACATACTTGTAAAGCTGTAATATCCTATATATTGCAAAAAAATCACAATTTTTTCTCTGCAATTATCATCTTATTGATAATCAAACTTGATGATAACATTAAAATCTCAATTTTAAAGAAAAATCGAGTATTATTGAGTTATAAATGCATACATACATCTACTGAACTAATAAATCATAAAATTAGTACAATATTATCAGTTTTTAACTCTTAATCACTTCAATATTCACAAGGACGCGAACTCCCGTAAGAATGTCGGTCTTTAATATAGTATCTCGTCGGTGCTGGGAAGCAACTACACACTTAAGAATAATTCGTCTATGTGTCATACAGACACGTTTTGTAACGATTGAATAATATGTTTAGATTTAGTCAATAGCCCTGTTTTTCTATCAGCGATTCCTATTAGAAATATTAGAAGAATGTTGTTTTATTTTATACATAAGTACGGAAATACAGTTTATATTTGTATCTTATATAAAACTATAAAGACAAAAAATATATCCAAAATTATCAATAAATTACCATTTTACCGCAATTTTACCGTAAGTAATTGTAAAATTGAATTTGACGGTACTTTTACATCTCTACTTTTATTTGAAACATTTTTTATATCATAAATAAGCGAGATACTTCAAATGGTCAATTCAAGCCCATACAGCACAGAACATCGAAATAACGTTGTTGAGATGTTGCAATGTTGAAATGTCAATGTATTATTAATGTTGTATTTATATTGATTCTTCCACATTGATTATTAATATATGTTGCTACAACGTTGAAACAATATCGAATAAATTGAACCACAAGTTGAATTTTTATTGATTTTTCCACATTGATTGTTAATGTTGCTGCAACGTTGAAACAACATTGAATAAATTGCATCACAAGTTGAATCTTTATTGATTTTTCCACATTGATTGTTAATGTTGCTGCAACGTTGAAACAACATTGAATAAATTATATATTAATTAATATCAATTTATATTTATATAGAATGTCATGTAAATAGAAAATTCAAATTACGTAAATTAATCTTTTAACGAAATTTATTTTTAAACAATAAATATTTAAATTTATTGTTTACCCGGGAATCGGATGCGCTCTCAGAGCCCGTACCCGCTAAAGTGGATATCTTCAGAGTGAAGCCAATGCAGGTTCTTCTTCCTGATTGATTCCATCATTTCACGATCAAACTATTATAGCGTTTTCGATTTACTGGCTGCGTTCAACAGATTCAGCAGTTTTGCAACCGTTTTATAATTCGTCGCACTGATTGGATTGTACTTTTGAATTTAAAGGAATAGTCCTATCTCAGCGAAGAATCACAAAACGGTTGAAAAAAACTGTTGAGTCTGCTGAACGCAGCCATTGACTCGACCGGGGTGATCCCGATTGACCACGACATGATTGGACACCACCAATCACAGCGACCGGTGCTTAGGAGCTTTGTAGTCTCAAGCGCTGTGAGTGGCTCGTGTCCAATTGAGCCATGTCCAACTGAGTGCCACCCGACTCGACCCAACTCCGAGTCAATGGTCTGTTCTTTTTAGCTGCATTTCTTGCACAATGTAGCTCTTCTTTTGCAGCTAAACAGAACAGACCATTGACTCGGAATCGGGTCGAGTCAGTAAATCGAATACGCGATTAGCAAAGATGTAGAGAATGGATTGCGCGAACTGTGTGTCAAAATGGTCGATAGGGATGAGAGAGAGGGACCGTGGTAGACTGCCATTGCTATCTCTTTCTATTCAATGGTGTAATGGGAGAGAGAATGAGAGGGGGATTGGCCGTCTCCCACGGACCTCTCTCTCATTATTGTCGATCACATTTGATACACTACTTAGATACGGATCACGCAGTCCATTCTCTATGTCTTTGGCTATTAGTTATAAGAAGAGGACGTAGAGAAAAAGAAGAGGTTAAAACTAAGAATTACGTCATAAACATCTATCGTAAAATGGCGACTTCCGGCTTATTGGCTCCACTCTCCTTATTATACCCACTCTAAAGGTGCCGTCACATGCGGCGTAACCTTCGTAAGCGTAACCTGCGTATCTAGTAATTTACTAGAATACGTTATTTTTTATTTATGAGAATACGCCATTCTGAAAGCCCGTATTCACATTGAGCGTATTTCGCGGGGTGTGTTCCCATTTGCTGATTTCCAGTATAGTATCCACTAACCGCCATATTGTATTACTGGGACAAGCGTTTCCTTTCTTTCGTAAAAAGATCCAGTAAAATCATAACCTAAATTCGTACGTGTTTCCATGTGCTTCAGAGAATCGTTTTCTCGGGCGTGTTTAATTTGCGATTAAGCAGAAAGGTATTGTGCTTCCACGTGCTTCAGAGAATCATTTTCCCGGTCGTGATAAAGCAGAGAGGTATTGTGTTTTTATATTTGTTTCAGTTTTGTTGTATTGTTTAATTAGTTGATGCTGT